TGCCTTTCCTCAGTGCCCCTAGCTCTCCAGCACTGTGCCTTAACAGGCTGAATTATGGAGGGGGGACATATACAGACACACTTTGGTTGGGGCCAAATTACTATATGCTGGATTCAGACATTTAAACCAAACTGTAGCAATTCAATTTTGATCTTTTAAAATTTTAGCTACTGCTACCTCATACTAGTTACTTTATATTTACAGGGCCAGAAATTTTTAGACTATGACACAGGAAAATTCACTCTGGTTACTAGGAACAGGGAAATTATCAACATCCTAAATGCTTCACTCTTTTCAAAACACAAATGATACTATAGTATCACCTGTTTGTTCACAAAGCACATTTATACCAACCCAGTATATTTTACTTTCAGTTATACAATTAGTCCACCATAGGGTAGTGCTTTACATATTCTAATGTATTTACAAAATGAAAACTGTTAAGCTTTTTCACTTCTCAAGATATTACATTTATAGTGCCATATCTGTTGATGTACTAAGACATAAGCTGTTCCAGGTCATATGCATCCGCCTGACAGATGACAGCTCCTAATTAACAGATAAGACTGGAGCAAACTAGTTTTAGCCAGTGCCGGAGAGCTGGAGTCAGAATGACTCGGCACAAGGTACTGATTGGCTACTGACATGTATATATGTAGTTACTGTACAGTCTATTCCGTTCCCTCTTGATATGCGGATGCTTGGCGAAGCACTTTGCTTGTTGCTTGTGCATACCAGCATTACCAACCACCTTGTAAATAAACTTATATTTTCCACACTTAACCATGTAGACAGTAGACTTCTTTGGACTGGACTCTCTATTGCTAGATCGGTGCAGGCATTCAACACACTATCCTAACAATATCCTGTGCAAGATTTGGCTGTTCTAGAATGCAGACACTGAGGAATTTCAGACAGACAATATAATCCGGAAAAGGAACGGTACCCAAACGGTTTCTGGTCTGTCATTTCAGACAGAACCGTTTTAGAACCGGTTCCCTACCGGAATATATTTGTAATTTCAGACACAAACGCTTCTGTCCCGTTTAGGAAACGGGGCTGAAGCGTTTTACCTGTCAACCGCTTCCAAGTAGTCTTCAGTTTCCTCTCCCGGTTCCGATGCCCTTTTTCCCACCGTTTTTCGCCCGCGTGGGCGATCTCCGGCTTTTTTTTTTTTGAACGTTCACTTTATAGTGCTATAATGGAACAGCAGTATATCAATCCCATTGGAAAGCCTGGAGTGTTTTGTTATAGCGCTATAAAGCGAATGTTTTTTAAAAAGCCGGGGACCGCCCACGCGGGCGAAAAAGTGGGGGGAAACGGTGCGGTCTGAAATGGCAAACCGCTTCAGATCCAGCTCTTTACTGGAAGGGGAAAGCCATGTATGAAATGGCAGCCCCATACCAGTTTACTCCATGACGGATCAAAAACGGCTTCAAAACAGGTTAAAAGGGGTAATGTGAAATTCCTCACTATATACATCGTTGTGCTACCAAACCCTTTCTATAGGAACGTTCTTCAATGTCTGAGGTTGTAAAACATTTCTATAAAATACATCCGGTGGTACAGAGCATTTATCCTCTGGTTAGTAACATCTGAGCTGAACAGTCCAGCTGTCAGTTCTAGCCCCGTGTTGGTGTGAGCTACCAGCCTTGTCCCTAGCTAGCCGTCCACCCAGCGGTTCGAAAGCTTCGGCGAGTAGATAAAATGGGTACCACTCCTTAGAGAGGGTGGGCACACCAAAGACCCCCCTGGTGGGGGAGGTGTTAGCCGGCGACCAGAATGCTCAGCTTGCGAGATTGAACGCCTAAGAAAAAAATCTCTTTGACTCCGAGAAGCCTGTAATGGGCCGTTCCAGCCAGGTGGTGGCAGTGCGGCGCTGCAAGACCTGGAGAAGCTGACGTCATCTAGCCAAGCTGAATATGCCAACAGAATATGTCTGACCCTGCAGCTGAACAAACCCTCGCTGACTGTGAATGTGTGTGATTTAAAATATATATGTTGTCCTCCCTTACCCCTATAAATCATTGTTAGTCCCGCGTGAATGAGTAACTGTAAATCGCTCAGAGCCAGCAAGCTCTGCAGGATTGAGCGATTAATAAATTGAAAGATTATTATTATTATTATTGTGTTAAGTGGAACAGTTAGTAATCAGTATTCAAAACTGATACTGGTAGCACTACGGCTACTTTGATGCTTCTCTTTCACTACAGAAAGTCCCTGTTACCCCTTTAGGGGACCTACAAAGATAGATATAGACAGACTCCACCATGGATCAAGTCATGATAGGAATCAAGCACAATAAAATACCATTTCATGATATAGCCTGGTAACTGAGAAATGGTCATACACCTCCATCAGGATATAGCTTTTGTGATTCCACAGATCTTCCCACCCCCAAATGAAATCAATAACCAACACTTGTGGGTTAAGAGGTGACATTCTATCCTACTTAGGGAAAATCCACAATACTACCTGCCTGCCAGAAAAAGCATCAGATTTTCCATCAAAATAACTCAACTTGGTCCTGCCAGAAAAGGGTAAAAAAATGTTGGGGATATGAGGGCTTGTTAGATTGTTTTGTCCCAGGACTGTCCTTCTGCCACTGCAACTTTTGACTGTGCTTCATGCCATCTTTCCATCTGTCAACCTCACTTGCCCACTAAGGTAGCTCCTTCCAATCCCCCATACTCTTGCACTCGAATTCAGCCCACACCTATTCCTTCTTCCCAGTCAGCTGGACGCTCATACAATTTTCTCTCCTATCTGCATTCTCTTTCCTTGGGGATGCAGTTAGATACAATATGACCACTACCAGTAGGTGCTGTGTAATTGCTTTTTATATTCTGGGTTGTCACTATTGCATCTTGGCATTTTTTTCCCTCCTTCCTGCCTATTCTGTACCCAGCACTATTTCAGGTTTTTTTCCTTCCCTAGTATCTCCAGACATTACCCCGGACCATGCTACCCTGTTTCCCCGAAAATAAGACCTACCCCAAAAATAAGCCCTAGCAGGATTTCTATGCATTTGTGGTATAAGCCCTAGTGTGTCTTCTTGAGAAAAAATAAATATAAGACAGTGTCTTATTTTCAGGGAAACACAGTATGTATACACAGACCAAGGATCCCAGACCAGTGTTTGAGAGATGCACATCTGAAGGCCACACAAAAGTACCATTCCCTTGGTTAATACCCCTAAATTAAAAAAAAATACAGAGCAGGAAAAAACCACATCAGGGTTCCCCAATGCAGTGCCCACTAAGTGTTTTTTATGAAGTGGGCAGAATCATGTAGGGCTTTTGCTCAGCAAGGCTCCTGACTGGCTGTGCAGATCTTGTTAAATGTGACTTTGGGGGCAGCTGCTACCACAGCACAGGGATCTTTACTGCATGACTGATAAGAACACCTGGTCAGCTGCTACCACAGCACAATAATATTTACAAGGATACTGAAGTTACACTGTGGCAACCATTTTGTTGCTGTGCTCACCACAATGTCAATTTCAAATGTGCCTGCAGGCTCAAAAAGGTTGGGGATCTCTGCTCTACATTTTTTACTTGGATGTGAAGGTGATGTGACTGACGCTTCATCATTAAGAAATTCCTCTAAAATAGCTAAGATCCAGAATCTTTATATTAGGAAAGCATATTTGGATAGGCAGTAAATTAGGAATCCAATTGTGGAGAATAAAACACACCATTACAAGATACAGAATAAAGTTTCTCTATGATTTCTATACATGCTCACAGTAGAAAAACTAGGCACTAGCCCAAACGCTATGAAACAGCTGAAGGGTGAATAACCTTAATCCATTTTGTCTATTCCACACAATTTTATTGGCATTCTTTGCACATCTTAAGTATTGTGTAGTTTATATGTTCAATTAATTGTTCTTTCCAGCTTTAATCACCTGAAGACTAAATACTAGAGAACTGACTTGAAATGTAGCATGGTTCTGCTTTAGAAAATTCCTAAACAGAATACACTAAAAATTGATGGTCAGCTATATCCTCTTTCATATATCACGACGTGAAGTTAGTAGGATCCTTTGGCAAGTTTAATCAAATCCATCTATGTAAATAAAAAGTGTTCTTCCATTATTTTTAACTCCACCATATGCACGAATGTTCTTCATTAATGTACACTATTGCTTGCTTTCAAAAAATTATATGCTAATTTATAGCCAAAAGGTTAGGCTCAAAATAGAAGGTAGTCAAAGGAAAATTGTAGTTGGAAACTAGATACGATTGGCGTTAATCCCCAACTTTTACTTCTTACTGGAGGGAGACAGAATTTTATCACGCACTGTTCATTAGTCAATAAATAAGACCATGAACTTGTGCAGCTTTATTAACAAGGTGAGTACAACATTAGGATCATTTATACCCCTCATCCAATTGTAGATTAAAATCCATAGTAACCACAAATTTATACAGTGACATCAGGCAGTGTGTTTAAGGGCAACAGGGCAATTTGATGTCTTCTATACTGAAACATGCAGAGACTTTTTATGGTACCATTCTTATCCGTTCTACTGCTGGATATGCTCCCTTCTCATATAAGGTTTGAATATTTTCCTGAAATGGTCAGTTGCAATGGATTGTTCTGCTAGACTCCAAACATCATGGGAAGGAGAAATGAGTAACATCATCCAGCAAACATTCATTTGTTTTCTTTGTCAGTAAAATAAGAACCTCTAAATCTGTCTAGCAGTAACTGCTAGCTACTTTTCTAAAGTTAACAGACCATACAGGTTTTGACTACAACAAAAACTTTACCAAAATCATAGGAACTGCATCATAGTACAAACAAAAAAATTTTACATTCCGTATTCCAAGGAAAGTTGGTTACATTTCCAAACACATTACAGATACCTTCAGAGTTATATATTGATTTTTAGTCATTTAAGAAATAATTACATCACTAACATCAATAATATAAACATACCAAAACTAAATGTGATTTAAATACATTTTCCATGTACAAAAAGAAAAGCCTGAAGGTGTCTGTACAGTTTTTTTTCTTTACAATGAACTGCTAATGTATGTACACAATGACAGGAAGGAAATACCATTTTGTGCAGAATAAAATCATCTCAAAATGTTGATATAAAAACCATAGTTAAATGCGTGAGGCACTCCTGAAGCTGGTGGCATTAGCCAAGAGCTCTTTTGGTACAATACCCAATGCTTGAAGAGCTACAGTAGCTGCTGTGGCTTTAGCAAGCTTCTTATTAGGACTGGCAAATGTAGGTTTATGTTCAACTCCATTGACCATCACCTGTTTGAGAGGAGGGGAAAACACAATTGTATAAAATTGTCAGGTAACACTGGTTTCTCCTTTCTTCAGCAAAAAACTACAGCTACACTCCTTCCTACACAACTGCAAAAACAGAATTTGTTCACTTAGCATGAACTGCCATTTTGGATGGTCTAGGGATGGGCAAGTCTGTATTTCTGGGGGAAGCTCCTCCTCCTCTGGTCACAGGCAGCATCTTAGGCTTTTGGTGACTCCAGAGGGAGAGGCTTCCCTCAGCAATTTCCAGACTATCCCCTGTAAAAGCCCCCGCTAGCAGAAGCAAATAATCCGACTGCCTTAAATGACCCCAACAGGCAAAGAACAGGGTAGAGAGATTGTTATCACCAACACTTAAATGTCATAAACCTGTTAAAATCTATGCAAACCATCTTTGCAGAGGCCACCCCAAGATTATCATACCAACCACCCTTTCCAGGGGTACTAAAAATAAAGGTGGGCAGATGTCCCACCTTCATACCACCAAGAACAGAAAAGTGAAAATCAATGAATAAATTTCCCTTTCTCCAGTGGTAGGGGTGAGACAGTCTGTACTTCAGGGATGTAAAAAACATGTTAATTCCAGCTGTTGTGCCTCTTGAGCTATAATTCCCAACTAGGATATCTTTCTGCCAAGGAACAGCATCCACTGAAATGGAGGTTTTAGAACACAAGTGCCAAACACAGGCCGGTAGCCAGGATTTTGTGGCTTGTGGGGCAAAAAAGTTTCTGGTGGGGCTGCCAATATTTTTATGTCAGCTCCAATTCACTCCCAAGTCCGATGACCACCCCTCTCCCTCCCCTCCTACAAGATTTAAAAGGCCCTTCAGCTGATTGTCAGAGAGCACATGGCCCACCAATCAGATGGAGGGCCCTTCAAATCTTGCGGGAGGGAGGGAGAAGGGTCCGCATCATCCCCCACTTCTGAAAAAATCTCTTTTTATTTTTAAAAAACAATCTTTTAAGGAAGGTGGCAGAGCCCCCAATACCCACTGTAGCTACAGGCCAGCCAAGCGAAATCATGAACCTATGATCCCAGCATACAAACAACCCAAAGAAGTTCCCTGTATGTTGTTGAGAAATGGAGAATCCAGTAGTTTTTTTCTGGAGGTACAGAGTCCCTAGATTGATATGGCATATCTATACTGCCCATAATCTATGACACTAATAAAGAGGATGACTCTCATATTGCTAGGAAGATTTGCTAAAAAGAGGCGATCAGTGACTCAGACTTCCCAAAGTCGTAGATGCTAAACACAAAGGGCTAAGAACCCTTAATATCCATGAATCCTGTGATCCTAAGTAAAGTCCATGAGGCAGCCTTTGATGACTGATGCTGGAATCCCCTGCCAGAAAATGGCACAAAGGCAAACCCAAAACTTGGGTGGAGGGCCAGGTTCTCCTGCATATAATGAAAGACTACTATTCCCTTTCAGACCTGCAAGGAAGACTGCGGATGAAGGCAACGGCAAACCATCTCGGCTTCTCACCTGCCTTGAAAGCCCCTTGGTAGGGTCACCATAAGGCAACTGCAACTTAACAGCACTTTAGACACACCAGCAAATTCCCTTTCACTGTATACAGAACTGAAAACATTTTTTTCTTTTTGTTTATTAACAAAACATCAATCCATAATTTAAAGATACAGTAGAGTTCTATAAAATGTATTATTAGGCAACACTTCATGTTCTGTTAAGTAGTCTATAACTGGATACCAAATGGCAATAAAATTTTCTTCTTGTCTTGCAGTCTACATCATAAACTGATTATGAGCTGTGAATTGTTGGCATTTTGGTATCTTTCCAATAATATGCTTAAAACTGTTCTAGCAACCAAAAGTAGGTTTCAAAACAAAACATTTGTTTTGGCACTATACGCATTGTGTCCCAATAGTTTGATAATACCATCTCTACAGTAAAAGATAAAGAACATTTAGTAATAGATTCTCTTTTAAAATCTGTCATCAAAATGAGTTGATGTAGGAACACCCCCACCATCAATGGATAAAATCAGCTATGGAGCCAACAATTCAACAACGGGGATCTATAGAAGGGTTAACACTATGCAGATTAGCTGGAGTCTTATACCATCTAGCCATTATTTTATATGATTGAAAGCGAACATCAAATATTTTTGACATATTAGTAGGGGAAGCCAATATTTTCCCCCACACTTCACTAGACAATAGTGAAACATTCTATATGCCATTTTTTGGATAATTTGTTAGTTTCCGTGTGTCTAGGTCTAACAAGATTTTATACATTTTAGACAGTAAACCTGTAGTATATACTAGACAAGTTTTTAAGATCACTTCAAATGCAGTCAGAGGTCCAGAAAGGGAATTTGTATCTGTTGAGAGGATAGAACATGTTGGAGTTGCATATATCTATACCCCCAATTTTCCTTCCAATTACGATTTGGTTAGAGGAGTTTTATTATCTACTAAATCTTTCAAACTTGAAAGCAGCATATTCAAGTCCTGGAGGGAACCATTTTTGATTTATAAATGTAGACCATGGAGAAATGTCCTGCATCAAACGTTTTCTATATCTATCCCAAATTATGATGTTGTTGTTCAGTCGCTCAGTCAAGTCCGACTCTTCGCGACCCCATGGACCAGATCCCGCCAGGCCCTCCTGTCTTCTGCCGTCCTCTGAAGTTGGCTCAATTTCATGTTCGTTGCATCAATGACACTGTCTAAACATCTCATCCTTTGCCGTCCCCATCTTCTTTGACCTTCAATCTTTCCCAGCATCAGGGTCTTCTCCAGTGAGTGCTCCCTTCTCATTGGGTGGCCAAAGTATTTGAGCTTCAGTTTCATTATCTGGCCTTCCAGGGAACAGTCAGGGTTGATTTCTTTTAGGATGGACTGATTTGATCTTCTTGCAGTCCAAGGGACTCTCGAGAGTCTTCTCCAGCACCATAGTTCAAAAGAATCTATTCTTCGGCGTACTTTTGTTGGCAGGCTGATGTCTCTACTTTTTATCATGCTGTTTAGGTTCGCCATCGCTTTCCTCCCAAGTAGCAGGCGTCTTTTAATTTCATGGCTGCTGGCACAGTCTGCGGTGATCTGGGATCCCAGGAACGTGAAGTCTGTCACTACTTCCACGACTTCCCCTTCTATTTGCCAAGGAGTGATGGGGCCGGATGCCATGATCTTAGTTTTTTTGATGTTGAGCTTCAAGCCCACTTTTGCGCTCTCCTCTTTTATCCTGAGCAAGAGGCTCTTAAGGTCCTCTTCACTTTCTGCCATTAGAGTGGCATCGTCTGCATATCTGAGGTTGTTTATTCTTTTCCCCAGCACAAATTATGATAGTCGCCTTTAAATAGTGATCCTGGGAATAGATTTGCCCTCTGTCTCTCGGCAAGTTTCATAAAGTTTCTAAAATTGTAAGAGGACATGTAGCCATTTCCTCAATTTTTGCCCAATTAGCCATACAATCAACCTGAAGCAATCGAATAATATTCACAAGGCTAGCTGCCTCATATTAAAGAGCCAAGTCAGGAAAATCTAGTCCACCACTCCTCTGTGGCCATTTTAGTGTGTTAAAACTACTCCGATGAGATTTAGGATTCCAAAAGAAAGTGAAAACATGAAGCAGAGTCAGACCAAAGGCCCATCAAAGGTCTAGCACTATACACCACAAATGGCAGAAACTCTCTAAGGCTCAGGCAGGATTCTTTCACATCTACCACCCTTTCTATTTAAGACAGGAAGGCTGAGAGTGATTCTCTCCAGGACACTCAGAAAACTTCCAGGGAAGAGTCGAAATTCAAACCTGGGATTCCCAGATACTACCTGTAAACTACTACCCCATGCAGGAGAAGCAGGGAAGCCTTTGCACAAGGCAGAAGCTCTACCGAGGAATGACAGCCCATATCGGTGGATACAGAAAAACGAGTGAGTGAACACTGTTGCCTCTAGAATTCCTAGAGTTCCTAGGAATGCAAAAGATGCCTGTAACATGAACAGAGCAGGCCGTCCCCTGTAGGTTTTCACCTGGTTTTCACACCCCAAAGTGATTTGCTTCTTTACAAGTGAAGCCACCTGGGAAAGATTGTAAAGCTGGAACTACTACATGTTTTCAAGCCATGAGCTTGTAATGAACCCAGGCTTTAAAGAGAAGAGCAAACTAGCTTAAAGCAGTTGACTCTACAGAATCCTTAGGACTGTGGGAGTTCTGACCATCTAGGAAGCCATTCGGCTCAGCCTAATTTATTACATAGCAGTTGGGGAATTAACCCTGCACAAGCCTATGATCTGAGAAGTATACAGTCCCTTCCCTTTCTGATCCTTATCTGCTTGAACTAGAATACTCTGAAGAGTCTGATAATTCATTCTTCTCTGACTGGGACATGACTAAGTGATCAGACACTACTAAATCATGATCTAGAAGAGAACGGAGACCTAGGACCTCCCATCGAGGCTGGGATCAGGTTATCCCCCTTCTCCCCACCTCCTGCTGGGAAATTACAAAATAAGACATCACGACTCCTCAATAGAAGTCTTTGCTCTAGTGCCACCAGCCAGTCTGATCCTGCATTTCTTGAGTGGTCATATTTATGGAGCTGCCACCATTCTACCCTGCTGTATATGCCTATACCTTTGCAAACACTACATCACTACTCCCAACTAAGACATTGGGATGGGCCTTTCCCCTACTGAGATATCAAGGACAGGGGAACTCCCTTCCTCTGTACTCACAGATGCAGAATCCAACCCCTCTAACAATTAGGACTTGGAAGGAAGAATGGGCAAAACACCGGCCCCTGAATCCTTCCTTTGAATCATATGGGCTGCACAAGCTGTAGCTTTAAGTGCTCCTGTAAACAGTCCTATGGGAAGGCCAAGTTAATGATGGTTCACCCCAACTGACCTGTGTCTATGCAAGGTGGTGGCGGCAGCCAAAGTCCCCCGCTGTCTGTGGTAGGGAGGAGTCTTTTCCAGGACTGCTTTGTTCTCCCAGTCCACCACTGCATGCCTCTGTGAGGCCACTGCAGGAGCTTCATCACACAACCCACCAGGCCAAAACTGAGAGATGAGTTTACCTCTGTGAGACCACTGCCTGTACTGTTGCTTCTTCTTAAGTACCACTTACAACTCCCAACTAAACAGGAAACGCATTGCTATGAGGCCTTTATCCACAAGCTCTCTATTGCAACACCCTCCATGTTGTAGAGAGGGAAGTGTACTTTGATGAGGCCTTTATCTGAGAGCACTTCGTCACTATACTGTCAGCCAGAGCAGGGAGGGAAGCACTCCTCAGCGAGGCCTTTCACTGTGAGCACTTTTGTTGCTCAACCCACACAGCCAAAGTGGAGAAGAGGGCTCACTTCTGTGAGACTTCTGTCAGAAAACAGCAGACAGACCATGCAGTCTTCAGTAAAAGAGAAAACGCTGTGGTGGTGGGGAAGTTATAACCTGCTGTCTGCTAGCAAACTGGGCTGGAGTGGGGATGTTGAGGGAAGGCCCTCCCATCTGGAGTCACCAAAAGCCATACTGATCCTGCCTGTGACAGTTGGTAATCTTCCCCCAAAGTACAGACTGTTCCACCCAGAAGCAGCATCTTCCCCCAAAGTACAGACTGTTCCACCTCTGTTACCAGAAAAATTGATGCGATTATGTGTTGTATGCGTTTCAGTCTGAGAGATAGCTGTCCTGGGTAAGCTCAAAGAATTCCTCTTCCTCTTACCTGTGAGCCCAAAATCCGATCAGTTAAAAACCCTGTCTGCACAAAGCAAAATATGCTCTTCCAAATGCCAAAATGAATGGTTCTCAAAGTTATCTAGATGATGGCTGCTAAGGTGGTGATAGTTTCCAGTCATCTCCATCACTGTGCATGAACGGCAACCCAGTAGCGGGGAGACACACACATTTAAAAGCAGTACGTGCTAAATTTTAGCGAGCAGATTATACAGCCCAGCTGGTTCTATGACTGCTACTCCTGTATAAATGATGGTCGCAATGCACATTTGACCTCAGGAAGTTGCACACTCATTTACTCTCATTCAGTGCGGCATGGGACTCTGGATTTGATCCAATGGACTGGATCCTATGACTCCCTTCTGCTAAGCAAGGAATCTTGGCCCAAAATAAACAAGTCACTGGCTCCAAACCAATATTCATTTTTATCAAATAAGCCAGAATGTGTAACATTCACTAGCTACTGACTATTTCAGCTCAAGCAGACGCATAATGTGAAGATACGGATTTAGAAATAAAGCCACAGGAAGTTTAACCACCTTCTGGGGTATGTGAAGACAGAAAACAAACAAACCGTTCCCTTACCTTAAAGAGAAAACATTTGCGATGATCAGGCCCATTATCAGTCACCAACACAAATGTAGGAGGTGACCATCTTCTTTTGTTACAGGCCTCCATCAATAATGAAATGGGATGCTTGCCTAAAGGGAAAAAGATTTTGTTTTATAAGGTACGAAAAAACACCAAGACAGATTCAGGTGGGTGGCTGTGTTGGTCTGAAGCAGCAGAACAAAGTTTGAGTCCAGTGATATCTTTAAGACTAGCAAAGTTTAATTCTGGGTATAAGCTTTCATGTGCATACATATCCAGAATTAAACTTTGATGGTTTTAAAGGTGCCAAGGAACACCAAAACTAGTGTAACATAGTTTAAAGATTCACCTGCAAGATCTTTCACTGCACTGAAAGCTCCATGTCTCTTCTGTGTCTTTTCTCCTATTGCAACCAAACCTAAACAAAACACAGAAGTAAATGTTGGTTATGTTCTTCAATTTATCCACTTCTAACATCTACACCAAACATTACATTGAGATCTCTGTACAGAAAGCTGACTTTTGAAAACAGTCCCAAAAAAACAAACAGCAGCACTCTGCAAGAGCACAGCCACATGCTTCAAAGCTTTTCATTTGATGCCATTTCTCATCTTGATTCTAATATCCTGACTTATGTTCCTTTCCTTTTCTCAGATGATTAACAAAGCCACTACTGTGAAATCAGTTATTTTTACATTATGGTCTACAATGTGCTTTCAGCTTGTCCATCCATGACACACTACTACTACAAAAAAAGGCTGAGGTTGTTTTAAAGGTGCTGTAGGTGCTTGCACTAAGGAGAAGACATGGAAAACATGCAAGCCCTAGCATGATTTGCCTGCTCTCCAGCAACTTTTTATTTCAACTATGTTTTTACCCTTTCTATTTCAACTCCCTGAGCCTGACCCCCATCTTTACTACATTTCAATAAGTCTTAAAGTATAAACATTGGCACAGAAATTGAGTTAGAAAAGTCAAATTCAGAAGGCACAGCAAATGGATACAAAAACAGCTTGTTGTGCTTGCACAGTTCCTCCCACCTCTCCCTGTGGCACATGGAGTGCAACAGACCAGCAGGTTTTGGAAGCCCTGAATCAAGCTGCAATTTATCATGATTCAGCATATACAAAAATACATTAAAATGCCGTTAAAATTATCAGTCAATGTGAAATCATACAACTTATATTAAAAGATGGTGAGTCTTCTGATATCGGCTGTCAATTGAACACTGTCCACCGCCTCATGCCCAGCTATAAAGCCTTGGTTGGTGACGCCATTGGTACTGTCGGTGCCAATAATGGTACAGTTGTTGGCACAGCTTGGTAATCAAGCAAAGGCCAGTTGTTGACACAGTTGGTAATCAGGTGGTAATCAGACCAGGGCCATGCGATTGAGGTGGCACCCTACTTAAAAGCCTGGCGGAAGAGCTCCGTTTTGCAGGCCCTGTGAGGTCCCACAGGGCCCTGATGTCTTCTGGGAGCTCATTCCACCAGTGAGGGGCCGCCACAGAGAAGGCCCTGGCCCTCGTTGTAACCAACTTGGCCTCTTTAGGCCCCGGAAGAACCAGGCAATTTTGGGAGCCCGATCTTAGTGCTCACTGGGGTACATATGGGGAGAGGCGGTCCCTCAGGTAAGCAGGTCCCTGGCCATATAGGGCTTTAAAGGTAAGAACCAGCACCTTGAACCATATCCGGTATGCTATAGGCAGCCAGTGCAGGGTTTTTAGGGTAAGCTGGATGTGTTCCCGCATAGGATAACAACAGCAGCCTCGCCGCTGCATTCTTCACCAGCTGCACCTTCCGGATTTGGGACAAGGGCAGCCCCATGTTGAGAGCATTACAGTAATCCAATCTTGAGGTGACCAATGCGAGGATCACTGTTGCTAGGTCATCGCGCTGAAGGAAGGGAACCAATTGTTTAATCAGTCATAGGTGGTAAAAGGCCGACTTTGCAGTGGCTGCTACCTGGGCCTCCATCGTTAGGGAGGTATCCAGGAGCACTCCCAAACTCCTAACCTCCGGCGCTGGCACCAATGGCGCCCCATTGAAGGTCGGGAGTGGGATCCATAACCATCTAAATGCAGATGCTGGAGAAAATTAAAGTTTGTTTCCTTTCTAAACTTACAGAGTTTGAAATCCTGGTTTTAAAGTGTGTCCGGGGGGGACGGGGGGACTGAATAATCTTCAATTTGCCCAAGCACTTGCATTCAGAATCAAAGCAAACTGGGGTTTGATTTGAAGCTTCTCAACCATAGAAGCCTTCAATCAAACATAGCACAAGGGGAAGAGAGATGCACGAAATCGTTCCAAGTCTTTGTTTCTCCATTGGCATGGAGCAGGATTTCAAACTCCCTATCTTTTCTTTTCTAAATTTTACAAAAACATATCCTCTTTCTGTTTCTGGTCTTATTGTATACATTTGCTGATCTGCACTCTGTGGCTGAGTGTGGAATGTAAAATATGATGCATAGGTAATCAGAGCACTGAGTGGCTTTCATAGACAGAAAAACAGCAGTTCCCTATCTAGGCATGTCAGCCTTTCAATGCTTTCTGTAAACTGTCACTTGATCTACACTGTGCTTTCAGGTAGACTGGATAGGATTCTACAAACCATGATCAGAATTGTTCATGGAATTGTCTCTGGCCAACTGCTCTGAAACCCTCTGTGCCCCCAGAAAAACTGCTCATGGGGGAGATACAGTTTGAGCTGAAATGGGCCTTCCTGCACATGAATTTCAATAAGCAAAGCAAGTGCTCACACAAGAGCATGGGGGGGACACAATTTTGGTTGATTTCCCCTTCTTGTTGCAGCCCTCCATGCAACATTTCTCTGCGTTCCTGAGGGGCCCCCACCCTCCGAAGCAGCTCTTGGAATGGGAAGGCTGTAGGGGAAAGAGATCCAACTGTATGACTAAAAGAAAACGTTAGAGTTTGAAGTCATTTTTCAAGTTTGCACTGAATAGTGTATATATAATGCCTAGCAGCAACTGCCCAGTACTTTGCAACACTTCCTTTCTCCATTTAGCCCGCATACATTCATTACTTGGGTTGCAGCACATAGTATGTCCAACAAAATACAGATCAAGCTGAGCTGCAACTTGAAAAGTCTTTCTAGTGTGCAGGTATAACAGTCAGAATCGAAGAAAGTATAGTGGTCTGCAAAGAAGTCACAAATCAGCATAGTGATCCATAATAGAATGAAGCTTAATAAACACTAGCCTACCTAATTTGCTGAAAACTCCTAACCTTTTAAAGCAATTTTAGAGGAATACATCAATATTTGGTCATACTTGCCAACTGCTTGCAATGATCCTCTATTACTCCACCTGTGTACCACATCAGACCTTTGTCAGGGTTTACATTCACATTTGGCATTCACAGCACTGAATTAATTGTTTAAGGAGCAACAAACATTTGCAAAGACAAGTCATTTTAGAAGGAAACTAGATAAATTTTGCATCTTTTCTCAATAAAGCTCTGCTAAAGAAAGCAATGTGACCTTCTAGGCCACACACTCAATGAGCAACTGAGTACTGCTCAATCTGTTGACTTGTTTTGCTAACCTATGGAAAGGGACTACACACAGACGTGTCAAACTCATTTCTTACAAGGGCTGAATCTGACATAAATGTTACTTTGTTGGGCCAGGCCGTGTGTGCTCGTTAAAATGTAATGCCAGGAACTGGAGATATAAACATTATAAAGTACACAAGCAAACCCAATTAATTATACTATTTTTTAATCAAAATGCAAACAAAATCAATTGATTCCTAGCAGTGAAAGCCCCAATAAATGTATTTAATCATATACAAGACTCAGTTTTTCCCAAGAGATAACACAAAAGCAGTGGTATTTTATATTTCGATACAAATTAGTTATTTTTTGTATATAAAGCATTTTTAGGAGATGTGTCATTGTCCTAAGTAAATAAGGTAGATTTTCAGCACACACCCCATATGACTAGTCTCAGCAACCAAGCATGACTACAATCTCTCTCTCACTCTCTGTTTCCTCTGTTCCCCTGGTCCTAACTCTCAAGACCTCGAGGAGGCACACCGGACTCCCCCTCCACCCCCCCCGTGAGGTGGGCCAGGCTGAGCAAACGGCCACAGGTGACCCAGACAACAGGGTCCTGGCTCAGGAGGGAGGGGGTCTGAAGCTGGCTCTCCCAAATCCCCCTACCCCAATTCTCATTCCTCCTGCATTTCCCACAGAAGCAATGGAGATAACGGAAAAGCTGTTTCAGATACTCCCAGGGGGCACTTTTTGTTCTCCTGTGACCCCTTTTCCCTCACAGGCTGAGAAGGGAAGTCACTGTCCCCCACCTGGGTCAATACTCACTTTGCCTCTGGGCTCTGCAGCCGTTCAGACGTGCAGCGGCAACATCAGCACCCCTTTTTCCTGTCCTTCCTCCACTCACTTCCAAGGCCAGGAGGTCTTTCCCCTCAGAAAGGCATGCACAAGACAGGCCAGTTGCCTCCCAAACCACAAGCCAGCCCTCCTCTCTTCCCCACTGGCCCTGTCCCTTCATCGGCAGACCAGCATTCTTTGCACCTACTCCTGCAAACCCCCTCACAGCCACCCTTTGAAAAAACTTGAAACCAGTTGGTGTGGCAGTGCAGGCTGCTTGGCTCCACCCCTCCCATGTAATGGCTTCACCAATCCTTGCTGAACTGCGGTCGGAGCAGGTGGGAGGGGGAAAAAACACCACACCTCCGCTTTCTCTACCTTTGCTCAGACACTATTTTACCTCTGCCTCTTAGCCCCACCCCCCAGCAATTTCCTTTCTATTCCTTGACAGCTTCAACCACACATACTTGCCACATACACCCTCCTCCCCCAGAAGCCTCCTGCCTTGCCTTCCCTCCCTCACACCAGTTGCTTATGGGCCGGGGTAAGAGTCTTGGATGGGCTGGATCTAGCCCCTGGGCCATACGTGATACCCCTGGACTACAGGGCCTACTGCATCCTTTGCAATGTAATTCCTTGCACAGCACAAAAAAAAGTCCCCAGACATCGAATCCTTGTGTAGTGAACAAATTATACGTGATGCCTTGACACACATGTGCTTAAATCAGTTCCTTCACCACCTGCAGAGGTGAGTGATCAATGATAACACTGCTCACCACCTGGTATGGAATGGACTGTAAGAGCTACATGAAAGTAGTGGAACGAGGAACTTTATTCCAGATGCTATCCTCTGTAAGCTGGACAGTACTACAGCAGGCAAGTAATCCTCATGCAAAGATCTGCTTACATGTTTGGAACACCTTTGCTGAATGAGGACAATTAGTAAACATTAGTCAAACTCAAACAAAAAAGGCTCACCTTTTCGATCTGTCTTAAAATCAACTAAAATAGGCTCCTTGCTTCCTTCTTTATTTTTCCCCAGGCCTTCTCCTTCTCTCCATCCCATCTTTCTCATTAGTTGGGCGCCCATTCCTCCTCTTACAGGAGCAGCTCTGAGAAACTGATCCTACCCAAAGAAAAAAGTACAAAGAAACACGTCGTTTAGCCCTTTCTTTAAAAAAATAAATCACAGCTTTCAAGAGTTTTACTTTATCAATCAAGTGAAACAAAGACATGTTTTCCCTCATATCTTAAGTCACATTTCATGTGTCAGAAACTTTTTCACAAATGTATATAGAAACAGTTTAAAAGTAAATATTTTAATCCAAAATTGGAAGTTTAAAATAATTTACTGCATTTACCCCTGCACTTATAAAAATAAAAACAAGAATTTAAAATATATTACTTGGTTTCAATTAATATCTACTCTTCTTGTGAAAGCACTGTTAAAGGTAACTGGCAACAGGTGTACCTAGTTATTGAGTAAGATAAAAACACTTAGATATAAAAATTCTGATATTAAGCAGATTTTTTTAAATCCACATTTTCCCCATTTTACACAAACTGTACACTTCATTTGTTCTGAAAATCCCCCTGCGAAAGATCCAAGCATTTCTTTAAAACAGAGAGGAACTTAGCCACAGTTCAATAATAGCATGTAACAACTTTCTTGAATTATCATTAGAGTCGTACTATTAGATGGTGTAAGATTATCAAACAAGTTTAAAGGCATTCTCTTTGCTGTAAAGTTAAAAACTCCTTAAACGTTTACGTACCTAGGCCTCGATGGCCGCAGTGTTGTGAATAGTAGGGCTGGCAATGACCGTGGCAAGGAGGCAGCTACAAGGCAGATTTGGCCCTGAAACAAGTTTCCATATAGAGGGGTGAAAGTTCACAGGCTATTCTGTGAACTATCATCTCTCTTTTCTGCTCCACCCAATGACCCAATGCAACAAACTGCTAGTGTTAAATATACACATCGGTAATGAAAACAGTCATTATTCTCATGTAGTCTTTTGTAAGATACAAAAGTATCAACCTACACATCAAGTAATCCTTTGCTTTCAATGAGGTTTAATTTTCATTTTCTGGAAAAAAGATTGTGAAAGCAAGTGAAGAGGATAAATCAGTCTAATGAGTGATCTACTCTTCATCAGAATTACGACACACACCCTTGGCAATATGAATCGAGCTCCCCGAAACCAAAAGGTAAAATTGCCAGAACACGTGTAACATCAGTTCCACTATAATACCTGTACATCATGCAACTGGGTATTACTTTAGAAAAAGGTGCTCTGATATAAAGAAAACCTGGACTGAGGCAGGCATTACCTCTCTCACTAAAATGTTTTGATTGGTGCAAGCCATGCAGTCTGTATACACAGAGACACATTAGCCAGAAACCAACTGCCTGAAGTTGACACACCTAGAATGGCTTTTACTTACTTCCATTTTTATCCTCCCTCTCTTTTGCAGGAACCTCTCATTAGAAAAAGGCAACCATGCAGAGAATGACACAAACCCCAGACAATGTCACCCAGGATTCCGATTCCTCTTTTGTACCTGCTTTGCAATGATAGAATGTTCATCAATGTCTGCTTCATCACCAATGTGCACCCAGTTCACAAAGACGACACAGACTAATTTTTCTGATGAGTGCTTTTTAAGTTGCAGAAATTTATCATACACTTCCCAAAATAATAGGTGGGGTAAGGGGGGGGAACAGCCTTTTCAGGTTTAAAAGCAAGACACCACCGTCTTAAACCCAGAAAAGGATATATTGAAGTCTGTTAATGTTTTTGCAGTTCAACTTTGAAAAACAAATATAGGAACAGAACATCCCATTTCCTAAATGGTTTCTCAGTTAGCCAGTCATGATTATCATGCTTCTGTATCTTTAAGGGAGAATCCAAAGGAAGCACGGGAGTGGGGGCTTAAGTCCAACTGGGGCCCATAGAGCTTAAGTATTTAAATGCTATTGATTTCAATGGGACTTCGGAATGCCTCACTTCCTCTGGACTGCATCTCATAAATCTACCAAATGCAGCAGAGTTGACACAGCTAGTTTTATTCACTGAATATTTGGTATTCAAATAAGCCTTTGAAGATGAACAAACTATTTCAGAACATTTCCTAACTGCAGCAACATGTGAATGGGTTTGGTGCATCCAGCTGAGAGGATTTTCTGCGTCTTACATGGCAGCTGCCAACACAGAAACTCTTCAGACTGAAACAACATTAGCAAATTTAGGATACGCTTCGGATAGTTATGTGCTATATCCAAAGCTCAGTGAGCGTCACCTGGAAATTGAACAAGTGTTTGAATCGACAGACACACAATACCATTTGGACATTAACTCACAGTGTGATTACGGGAGAAAGCCCTCTCTTTCACTCTGCTCCTAAAGGAACGTTACTCTAACAATAACTCCCAGTTAGCAAGAATGCCTACAAAGTACTACCTGTGTGTCTATACAAAATAGACCAGTACACCAAAGTAGAGTCAAGTATCACTGATCTAAGCAAGATGGAGAATTAGAATATTCTAAATATTTATTAAAGTATACTATAGTGTAATTTTAACAGCAAATATTAGTTTAAAATAATGGAGACCTGTATCTTTATTTTTGTTAGCAATCCAATAGCATTTGAAATATACTCTCATTCCGATATTTACTATGTTGCTTCTCTGGCACTTTTTCTCTGGGAATCATCAGCTCCTCTTATGCCAAGGAAACTAATTTATTTTAGCTCTCCTACCAATAGACAGAGCCAAAGTTTGATGATGCCATTTCCTCTATCTAGGTTTGGGGAAAGTTGATCCACATTAAGTTTACAGGACGAGCAATTACAACCTAATAAACAGCAAGAACTTCTGGAAAGAGGAATCAGCACCAAAAATGAAAGTCCATTGTGATGTCTAGATTGGCACATGAAGGGTTAAGGAACCAAAGAGGTAAGAAATTACAATTTACCAGATTCATTCAATGCCAAGAAGAGCCCACACAAATGGGAACTCCAACAATACCCAATCCTGGGTGCAAGGGTGAATACCTATAAGAAAAACACAGAACAATGGACTACAGTGAGCAGACCATGTCTGCTACTGAGTGTATTTGCATAGCCTATAACAACTGTTATATAAACTTTAGTTATATTGCTGTCTAGCAGACAGACCATCTATTCTGACCCAAATCAGTGTTTCCCAAGATACAGTCACCAGCACTTCTTGTGGGCACATGTAAATAGCTTGCCCATTGAAACTTGATTTTATTAAGCAGAGACAGCCATGGAAAGATGGTGGCCGATAAATGGAAGGGGGAAAGCACAGTTAGAATGAATTCTCTATGCCTGTAGTGTAACAGAACACCAGAGATCACCAAGCACAGGACGGAGGCACTGTTGCCAAATCTGACCTCAAAGAAACCAATATTCTGCACTCAAATTAAGTCATGCATATCTACTTTGAACAATGATTCAGCTCACTGAGTCAGACCATATGTACCTGTTCCACTAACAGCAGCCTTTTCCTCCTGAGCAAGAAACCTTCTTACTGACACAGGAGGCTCTTGCACCAGAAAAAGCCTCACACATCACTAGAAGGTTGCTTGCACCAAAGGAAAACACCCTCCCTAGTGGAACAGATCTGTAGAATTCAACGCACTAAGTTTGGGGGTCTCAGAGCTACTGAAGTGAGAGTTAGGTGAAGAAACTGGGAGCTGTACAAGGCACTTCAGAGTCCTGTATTCTGTATCACTGGATTCCATACCAGCTCACTGCGGTTTCTGAATCTTCAGAGCATGTGTATTCCATTTTCCAAGTTATTTTCTGCAATCAATTGCAGAAATGCTCCTTTAAAAAAAAAATTGACTTTCAAAATACCAAATGCTAGATTCTGTGCTTCTGTAAATGTGTGTATATGGATATGCAAATAAAGCAGTTCTGCCCTAAAATATATTAGCAACAGAAAGCACTTTTGTTACAGACTGAAAGTACTTTTGTGACCGTTCTTAAACCAGCCTGAATTGAAACCATTAATTTAATACATCCCAACTTGTTTTAATTTGCTGGTACAGTAAATATACAGGTTCTGGAAAGCTTTTTTTCCAGATTACAATGAAATGGTCAGAGATCCATCAATTTAAAATTTAAACCTTCCAAGGAAGTCCAGAATTAGCAAGCAGTTTTCACACCTTAATCAAACCGGAAACCTAACAGCCCAGCTTCTAAACGAAATGAAAATGTCTGACCCCCCCCTGCCCCCAATTCCCTTGTCTGTTTTTACAAGGAGATGCTTACTTTGTTGGTGGATCTTGCATTGCTCTCAGGAGGCATTAATATTGGCAGTCATTGACTTCTGAAGTAAGGGAAGATCATTATTATAGTTCAACACCAATGAAGCTCTACCCCCTTCTCCTATAAATTTTTCACCTGGGCACTCACAGCAGCAGGACTCCTGTTCATTGCAGCAATCATGTATGGTCAGCGCAGTCAAGGCCCTCCGGATGAAATCTAGATCCTGAAGGGGGACACAGTACTGGAATAGGGGGAGCTTCAGAAGAGTGCAGCTTTCAGGTCAACTGAATAACTCATACATACAAACACTCTCACATGCTCACCCCCACTTTACCCAAAATCTCTTGAAGAGCTGCCCTTCCTTTCAGAAATACCTTATTTAGCCAGCTGCCCTCTTCCAGGGAAGTGAAATAACATCTTTTCACTTATCCCAGTTGGCAATCAGGGTTGTACAAGAAAATAGTATTTCAGAGCTTCTAGTGGCCCAAACTTTTTTTATTAACATACTACAAGCTTACCTACAAAATTTGGTAATATATAATGTGAAAATTAAACTCAATAAAATCAAAGCTTTACAAAATTATTTTGTGTAATAAATTTGAGACTTAAAAATTAGGTGATGCTTTCTGAAAAAAATTAAATATTTTTTAGATAAAAAAACAAAAAACACATAACTAGGCCAATATCAAAAAGTGCTATTTCAGGCCTATGGTATATCTAGTGGATTATTATTATTTTTACTTTTTCCAGTTGAATGGCAGGCTCATATAAAAAACTGCTTATGAAATTTCAATGAGTTTCAAAAGAGGCTTGCCATGTGGCATGGGAGGGACTACCTTTTGAGAAATAAACCTCCTTCGTGCACAATGGATTAGTTGTATAGTTCTAAAGATCAGGATCTATGTATTCTACAACTTCACTCTCCAGAGGGCCTCCAGTGTGTTACCACAGACTTATGATCAACATGCAAATACACAAAAGCTAAAGGAAGAATGAATGTGTTGCATATGTACTATGAAAAGTTTAATTTTTTTTGCATTTGTGAACCAATTACATCATTGATGATAATGCAAAACAGAAATAAATTCTGACTGAAGCTGTTGTTCCTTTAGGGACACTGTTGAACTGAAGTGTGCGTGCGCACGAAAGCTCATACCTTGAATAAAACTTTGTTGGTCTTAAAGTTGCCCCACTGGACTCTAACTTTGTTCTATTGCTCCAGACCAACACGGCTGCCCACCTGGATCAACCTGATGCCCAAATGTTTTAAATTACATTACTTAAAAAAATCAAACAAATGAAAACAAAACCAAACAACAGATTGCTACTGGTTTTTAAAAGGCAGCTTCCTTTCTACAACATGAAGCGTATTAACAGGCATAGGTAAAGGTAAAGGTTCCCTTGCTCGAAAGCCAGTCGAGTCTGACTCTAGGGTTGTGGTGCTCGTCTCCGTTTCAAAGCCGAAGAGCCAGCGCTGTCCGAAGAAGTTTCCGTGGTCATGTGGCCGGGGCCGGCATGACTAAACACCAAGGTGCACGGAACGCTGTTACCTTCCCACCAAAGTGGTAGCTATTTATCTACTTGCAATTTCTTGCTTTCGAACTGCTAGGTTGGCAGGAGCTGGAACTAGAGACGGGAGCTCACTCAATCATGCGGCAACTCGGGTCTCGAACTGCTGAACTACTGACCTTCCACAGCCTGCAGTTCAGCGTCTTAACCACTTGAGCCACCGCAGCTCCATTAACAGGCATAACCTTCACGTTAACTCCAAATGACTGCTGAATTTCAGTATGTTCTTCCCTCTCAATTTTTAAAATAAAAGGAAATATTTCAAACTTCAAAATGTAGATGCAATATTTCACACCTTAAATAAATTATCAATGCCACTCAAGGTTCTCTCACGAATTCACCACACAGTTGAATTACTATAGTATTTATAAAATGCAAAAGCATCACAATTCTTTGCTCAGAGGGGGGGGGGAAGTGAACTTTTATTGCTTTGGGCAATAGTGAATGAGTCTTATTTTGGTTGTAGTCACTTACAAAGAAATTAAATGCTCAAATCATAAGGATATTTACGGAATTTAAATCCCACTGTAAGCAATGGGACTCACTCCCAAGAATCAGTAACTCCGGAATAATGCCAGTCTAAACCCACTGATTTCAGTAAGATCACACTGGACATAGGATTGTAGCATAAGTGAACTGAACACCAACACTGCTGTAGAAAAGCCTTTTCATTTCAGAGTTTAAAGCAGCACAACTTTCTCTGGCAAAAGGCACCTTCTGCTACATGCATCTGCAGAAGGCTGCTCACACCAGAGGAAGAGGAACAGACCCACAGGATCCAACCCTTTATTCTGCTGTTCTTCTCACAGCGTCTTTATTTGCCTCACTCAACTAGAAACCTGCAAGGAGGAAAGGACAATACATCTCTCTGTAATAAAGGTTTCTGATGAAGAGCCCTCTCAAGATAATACTCAAAAGATATCTAAATAGGACCACTTTCAAACGGCATGTGATCTTCCTGAAATCTTCCTCAAATTGGAGAAACTACAATGTGAGCAACAAGAGGAGGACCACACATTACTGTTTATTAACGCAGAAGCCCTCTGGACTCGGGAAGCATACAAATACAGATGGTGCCAAGCATGATAAAAGAGCATAGTAAACCAACCTCAGAGACTTCAGAGGAGAAATTTTCTACCTAAGAATTCTTTGGTATCCAAGGTGGTACAAACTACATAATATGAACGGGGGGGGGGGGGTACGGGTTAAAATTAAAAATGTTTA